TGATGATAACTATGTAAAATTTCAAGGTGACCTTTGACTATGATATCTCAACACTATAAATAGAGATATCATTCACCATTGTATGACATACTTCAATAAGAAAATTATCTCCTCTATCTTATACTTCTTGTCTTTTTCATCTTATATTCTGAGTTTTCTTTACAACACGTTATCAACACGAGATTGTTACTTGCAAAGGTACTATAAAAATATTTTTATTTAATTCACATATTCTCTCATAATTTTCATTTTGTCGAACTTATCCAAACTTGAGTTTGTGGCATTAGATATTTCTGGAAAGAATTATCTTTCATGGGTACTCGATGCTGAGATTCACTTGGCTGCTAAAGGTCTTGATGCCACTATTACTCAGGGAAATGAAGCATCGAGTCAAGATAAGGCGAAGGCTATGATTTTCCTTCATCATCATCTTGATGAGGGCCTGAAGATTGAATATCTGACGGTGAAAGATCCACTTGAATTGTGGACTGATTTAAAGGGGGAGATATGACCACCTAAAGGCAACAGTGTTGCCAAGAGCTCGTTATGAGTGGATGCATTTACGGTTTCAAGATTTTAAGACCGTAATTGAATACAACTCTGCTGTATTCAGGATAACCTCCCAGTTGAAATTATGTGGGGAGACTATAAAAGATGAGGACATGTTGGAAAAGACACTTACTACTTTTCATGCCTCGAATGTGATATTGCAGCAGCAATATCGTGAAAAGGGTTTTCAGAAATATTCTGAACTAATCTCATGTCTTTTGGTGGCTGAGCAACATAATGCTCTTTTAATGAAAAATCATGAAGCTCGTCCCACTGGAGCTGCTCCATTACCGGAGGCAAATGTGGTGGAAGCACGTGATCAATCTGAAGTAAAAAGAGATGATCATCGGGGATATAATAATGCACGGGGACGTGGCAAAGATAAAATACGATACCCTAATCGTCAAGGTGGTGGTCATAATAAAAGGGAGAACATCATGAGTTCTCAAAATACCCCCTCAAAAAGTAATTGTCGTCGTTGTGGCATGAAAGGTCATTGGAAGAATGAATGTCGCACGCATGAACATTTTGTAAGGCTCTATCAAAATTCCTTTAAAAAGAAAGGAAATAAAAGTGGTGCTTCCTCTTCCAATGCTCGAGCTGAGTCACATATGACTCTTAAAGATGGTGATAAGCCTTGGAACATCTCAGAAATATGATAAAGATGTTGAAGCAAATTTGGCTTTAAAGGATGATGTTTTTGATGGCCTTGGTGACATTACTCATATGGAAGTTGATGACTTCTTTGGAGATCGAAACTAATGTTTGATCTTTTAGCTGGGGAATGAAATTTGTTAATATTTTACTTATGTATTTTTAATTATTATGTTATTAATGTTGAAGTATTTAAATTTCCGTTGTTAATTTTGTTTCTTCCTTCTTTTGATGTATTTTATTTTAATGAAAATTAATAGAAATCCCCAGTTGTCGGTTGGATTCAAGATGAGTAATGGAGATGTATGCCTTCTTGATAGTGCTACAACGCATACAATATTAAAAGAAAAGAAATATTTTTCTAATTTGGTTATGAGAATGGCATATGTCAACACAATATCAGGTAGTACAAAATTAATTAAGGGCTCTGGAAGAGCGACCTTATTACTACCTGGAGGGACAATATTAAGCATTGATAATGCATTATATTGTAGTAAGTCTCAAAGAAACTTATTAAGTTTCAAAGTTATTCGCCAAAATGGCTATCATGTTGAGACGGCTAATGAAGGAAAGGTTGAATACCTTTACATTACTACAATTAATGTAGAGAAGAAAATTGTGCATGAAAAATTACCTGCATTTTCTTCTAGGTTGTACTATACAAGTATAAGTACAGTTTAATCACATGCCGTAGTAAACAAAAGGTTTACTAATTTTAATGATTTTATCATTTGGCATGACCGGTTGGGCCATCCCGGATTTAATATGATGCGCAAAATAATAGAGAATTCACATGGGCACACCTTAAAGAGCCTAAATATTCTTCAATCAAAGGAATTCTCTTGTGCTGCTTGTTCTCAAGGAAAGTTGATCATTAAACCATCAACAGTTAAGGTTGGAATTGAATCTCTTGCGTTTTTGGAACGTATACAGGGTGATATATGTGGACCAATTCAACCTGCATGTGGACCCTTTAAATATTATATGGTCTTGATAGATGCTTCTACAAGATGGTCACATGTGTGTTTATTATCAACTCGCAACATGGCTTTTGCGAGATTGTTGGCTCAAATAATAAGATTGAAAGCACAATTTCCAGACTAAACAATAAAGACAATCCGTCTAGATAATGCTGGTGAGTTTACATCTCAAGCATTTAATGATTATTGTATGTCTACTGGTATAACAGTTGAACGTCCAGTTGCTCATGTTCACACTCAAAATGGTCTAGCAGAATCATTGATTAAACGTCTGCAATTAATAGCTAGACCATTACTAATGAGAACAAAGTTATCTGTGTCTATGTGGGGGCATGCTATTTTGCATGCAGCAACACTTGTGCGCATAAGGCCGACCAATTATCATGAATTCTCCCCATTACAATTTACTTTTGGTCAAGAACCAAACATTTCCCATCTTAGAGTTTTTGGATGTGCGGTGTATGTCCCAATTGCTCCACCACAACGCACAAAGATGGGGCCCCAAAGAAGGTTGGGGATATATGTTGGTTATGAATCTCCTTCAATCATAAAATATTTGGAGCCTACGACTGGAGATTTATTTAAGGCAAGATTTGCTGATTTTCATTTTGATGAATCAGTATACCCAACATTAGGGGGAGAACATAAGTCATTAGGAAAAGAGATAGATTGAAATTCATCATCTCTATCTCATCTGGATCCTCGAACAAACCAATGTGAGCAAGAAGTTCAAAGAATAATTTATTTGCAGAACATTGCAAATCAGCTACCAGATGCATTTACTAATCTTCCAAGGATTACTAAATCGCATAATCCAGCTGTTAATGCTCCAGTTCGAGTTGATATCCCGACGGGACAAATTGTTAAGGAAAATGAGTCTAGACCACATTTGAAGCGTGGTAGACCGATTGGTTCCAAGGATAAAAATCCTCGAAAGAGAAAAGGAATAAATGATCAAGATGATCATGGGTTGAAAGAAATTTCTCAAGATGAGACCCAAGTCATAACACATGATGATGAAGAGGTTTGAACTTCTGAAAATAATGAAATTTCAATGAATTATGTCTCGACAAGAAAGTTGTGGAACCAAAATAATGTTGTGATTGACAACATATTTGCCTATAATGTTGCTATTGAAATAATGCAACAAGATGAAGATTTTGAGCCAAAATCTGTTCGCGAATGTAAACAGAGAAATGATTGGCCAAAATGGAAGGATGCAATTCAAGCTGAATTGGCTTCACTAGAAAAACGTGAAGTTTTTGGACCGATAATCCGAACACCTGAAGGTATCAAGCCAGTGGGGTACAAATGAGTTTTTGTACGAAAAAGAAATGAGAAAGGTGAAGTCATGAGATATAAGGCTCGACTCATTGCTCAAGGTTTTTCTCAAAGACCTGGCATTGATTATATGGAGACATATTCTCCAGTGGTAGATGCAATCACCTTCAGATATCTCATAAATCTGGCAGTTCATGAAAAACTTGAAATGCGTCTAATGGACGTTGTCACAGCCTATCTATATGGCTCATTGGACCACAACATTTTCATGAAAATTCCTGAAGCATTCAAAGTGCCTGAAGCATACAAAGATTCAAGAGAAACTTGTTCAATAAAACTTCAGAAATCTCTGTATGGATTGAAACAATCAGGAAGGATGTGGTACAATCGTCTGAGTGAATATTTGTTAAAGAAAGGGTACAAAAATGACCCGATTTGTCCCTGCATTTTCATTAAACGGTCGGGGTCTGAATTTGTAATAATAAGTTGTGTATATTGATGATTTGAACATCATTGGCACTCATAAAGAGCTTTTAGAAGTTGTTGAGTGTCTGAAAAAAGAATTTGAAATGAAAGATCTCGGCAAGACAAAATTTTGTCTTGGCCTACAGATTGAGAATTTGTCAAATGGAATACTTGTTCATCAATCAACGTACACAGAAAAGATACTAAAGTGTTTTTACATGGATAACTCACATCCATTGAGTACTCCAATGGTGGTAAGATCGCTTGACATCAATACAGATCCATTTCGACCTCAAGAGAATGATGAAGAGCTTCTTGGTGATGAAACTCCTTATCTTAGTGCGATCGAGACACTAATGTACCTTGCTAACAATACTCGACCATATATCTGTTTTGCAGTAAGTCTACTGGCAAGATTCAGTTCCTCCCCAACAAAAAGACATTGGAATGGTGTTAAACACATACTTCGATATCTTCGAAGGACCATGGACATGGGTTTATTCTATTCCAATGAATCCAAATCAGAACTGTTTGGTTACGCAGATGCAGGATATTTATCAGATCCACATAAAGCTCGATCACAAATAGGTTATTTGTTTACATGTGGAGACACGACAATATCTTGGCGATCAATGAAGCAAGTCGAGAGTGCGTCTGGTTGAGATCAATGACCCATCATATTCAGGAAATGTGTGGTTTTTCTTTGAAAAAGAATATACCAACCACAATGTACGAAGATAATGCTGCATGTATAGGTCAATTGAAAGGAGGATACATCAAAGAAGACCGGACAAAGCATATCTCACCAAAGTTCTTTTTCACGCATGATCTTCAACAAAATGGTGAGATAGAAGTTCACCAAATTCGTTCAAGTGATAATCTTGCTGATTTATTCACTAAGGCATTGCCAACATCAACGTTTGAGAAATTGAGATACAAGATTGGAATGCGCCGTCTCCGAGATATCAAGTAAAGTTTTCATCAGGGGGAGCGAAATACGCGTTGTGCTCTTTTCCTTAATTATGGTTTTGTCCCAAGTTGGGTTTTCCTGGTAAGGTTTTTAACGAGGCAACATTCAAAGCGTATTATGAGATATGTGTACTCTTTTTCCTTCACTAGGCTTTTTCCCACTGGATTTTTCCTAGTAAGGTTTTAACGAGGCACATAATCTATGGATATCAAGGGGGAGTGTTGTAAATCCATTGTATATGTGGATGATCTATTAGAGTTATCCAACAATTAATTGGATTTATGTATTAGTGTTTCCAATGTGATAAGATATCAAGGTGATATGAACCTTGATGATAACTATGTAAAATTTCAAGGTGACCTTTGACTATGATATCTCAACACTATAAATAGAGATATCATTCACCACTATAAATAGAGATAACATACTTGAATAAGAAAATTATCTCCTCTATCTTATACTTCTTGTCTTTTTCATCTTATATTCTGAGCTTTCTTTACAATATATATATATATATTTTTTTTTTTCAACATTGGTAAAGGAAGGAGGAGTTGAAAAAGTAAATTTGCATTTAAAATGTTTGGTGGTTGGTGTATTTTCAACTGTCACGCACGCCATGGGGAAATGAAAAGCGTGGTCAAACCGCGGTTGGGTTTTTCTGATTTGGTTGGAATTGAACTACAAAGGGGGAAACCTTTGCCTTCTCCACCACGTCTCTCATTATATAAACAACCCTTTCCTTTTTTCTTCTTTCTCTTTTTTTCCCCACATTTCCTTCTCCGTGATTTTTCTTCCTCTTCTACGGTTTCGTTGTTGCCGGAGGTAAGCTGACGTCATTTCCTATCGTCTTGTTCTTCGACTTCGTTGGCTCTGCTTTTATATTTATGATAACATTTTTGTTTTTATCACATTTTAGGCCGTCCTTCCATTTACACGTTTCCACTGCTGCATTCAATTGTCATCCCTACTCCGGTTAGTACATATTACGTTTTGATAAAGAAATTTTTATTTTTCGGGACTCTGTTTTTTGTAAAAGTTCTTTTTTATATTTCGCGCAATTATTTATCATATTTTTTTTTTTTGTTTTGAATAGAAATGTTAGATATTATGTTGTGAAATCGGTGGTGCTGTTTCAAGTGATTGATAAGTTCGGTTATTTCTACCATTATTTTTGTAATGGAGCTGTGTATGATGTGATATATATGTCATTTTTGGATATCATGTTCATCTGTCAATTTTTCGAAGATCATTTTCAGTTTAATTGTTGTTAGATTCTTCTTCCTGTAATAATATTAAGTCGATACATTTTTTTTTCCACAGATATAATCAATACATTATATCTTTGTATCCAAGTGTTGATGGATATATATATGTTGATCTTTGAAGAGAGAAAACATTGTTCTTGAAAATAAAAGGTTCGATTATGTCCAAATATTGCTATTTCTTGGTGGTGGTCACCAAGTTGGTGTATGAAAGCAACTATAATATGGAGAAATGTGTATTTAGCATGATTCTTGGTTTATCTTCAATGTCATGGTTTTGTTCTATTACTAGAATTTAATGGGAGGGGTCCATATTTAATGCCTCCCCATGCTTCTTTGTAGGACCATAATATGTGGTTGCATCTGCTGTTTTTTTCCTCTCAAGTTGTGGGCTATGGGGAGGTTAACAGCTACCTACTGCCAATTGTCAAGTTTTCTTACCAAATATCAGTTAGTATTTGAACCATTAGTTTAATTTATTTATGAGACCTCTCAGATAACCTGTTGTTTTATTCATTCAAAGGTAATCAGAGAATGTATCTGTTTCATTAATGTTAATAATTGTTTGTTAGTAGTTAGGCCCTTTAATAAGTTCACAGCAACTCATGCAGTGTTTCAATTGTATGCTATATGGAATCTACAGAACCCTTTGATTTGTCTTTTTTGTGTATGGTATTGATTGACATTCTTTATATTAGAAATCTTTCAAGTCTTGTTCTACTTGCTTTTCTTTTTTTTGGGTGCGATCTTTCCCATTTTCCTGGTTGTGATTAATCTTATCATGCAAATTGCTTGATGTTACAAACTTTCTAGGCGTTCTGTTGCATTCTAGATGCTGCATATCCGTTTATTACATCTCTGTGATATTGAGACGTACATCTTCTTAACATATATATCCTTCTGAACCATATTTTGCAGTTTGTTGACTGACTAGAAAAGTGAGGCTAAGAAGTGGGAAGATGTGCAAGTAAGATCTACATTGGATCGTAATTTATGAATTTGATATTGAATTCTTTCCGTAACTCACTCATTGTCTGGTGATTGTCAGTTTCCAGGGCTCTTTTGCTTAATGGACCGTACGCCTGGCTGCAGTGATAAGGTTACTTTGAAGAAGTGGTTTTTCATCGACAAAAGGGTTGGTTAAAAGTGTGTGAAACAATTTAAGAGCAGAGTTACTCAAACCATTGTCAACTGCTTGCATAGTTTTAAACTTATTTTCTGCCATAAAAAAGATACTAGGCACAATGGACCTGAAATCAAATACATCCCCTGTTGTCACCGATCCTGCCCCACTGACTCCGTCCAGATTGGGCATCCACTCAGCTTTGATGCCATACTCTCCGGCTTTGCCAACTTTCTCCCCCACTCTCTTCCTTACTATCCCAAGGAAGAAGCCTGGAATTTTAGATGATGTTAGATCAAATACTTGGTTGGTGGATGCCATGAAATCTTCATCTCCTACACATAGAAAGAAAAGTAAGGATTCCACTGCTGAACTAGCGTCAAATGAAAATGATCTTGCCTACCGCATATGGATGGTAATGCTCTTTATGTTCTTTGTAATCTAATTTAGTCAATATTTTGTCTGGATCCTACTTGCAGAAGAATATAAGAGAAGTATTGTAATATTTTTTTTGTGCTTTTGCAGCTCAAGTATCCCTCAGCACTTTCATCATTTGAACAAATCACAAATTATGCAAAAGGCAAAAGATTAGCACTTTTTCTGGACTATGATGGAACTTTATCACCAATTGTAGATGATCCAGATCGAGCTTTCATGTCTAGTGCTGTGAGTATTTTAACTTTTTAATGGGAGAAAGTTTGTGCGACACTCATTGTAGGATTCCTTTTTTACACTAAGTCACTCTTTTGCAGATGCGTGGTGCTGTGAGGAATGTGGCTAAATATTTTCCCACAGCAATTATTAGTGGGAGAAGTCGTGATAAGGTGCCTATCAATGCTTTCATTTTAGTGTGTTTGAACTAGACTTCTTTTTTATGTATAAATATTATCATTTCTATGTTTAAGGCTTTCAAGATTCTTCTCTTATTGATTGGATATTCTCGTGTCCAGGTACATGACTTTGTCGGACTATCTGAACTTTACTACGCTGGTAGTCACGGCATGGATATAATGAGCCCTGTTCGAGCCATTTCTGATGACTATAGTTGTATTAGATCTACTGACAAGCAGGTAATGATGCTAAATCTAATCTTTATTGAAAAAAATGAGACATCCAACCATCTCGTCTTATGAGCTACTGACAACAATCAACTTCTGTGAACACAGGGCAAGGAAGTTAATCTTTTCCAACCTGCTAGTGAGTTCTTACCAATGATCGAGGAGGTAAATAAGAGTTTTGTGCTAAAAGATTATTATTTCTATTTGTGACATTACTCGGTATAAAACATATGTTTTTAATATATACTCAAACAGGTTCTTAGATCTCTTGTTGAGCTCACAAAAGACATCAGCGGAGCAAAGGTTGAGAACAACAAATTCTGTGTTTCGGTACACTACCGTAATGTAGACGAGAAGGTATGAATAGATACTTTTGGTTAAAGTCAAATTAAAAGACTCTTTACTTTTCTCACTGATCTTTTAAACAAGATTATGTTACTTTACCTGTCAGAAAATTCTTATCCCTTGTATTGTGCTTGCTTAAATTATTACAGAGTTGGTCAACCATCGCCGAATCTGTTGATGATTTGTTAAAACACTACCCCCGTCTGCGATTGACACATGGCCGGAAGGTACACATCTGAGACTGCTTTTGCCAGTGCATTTTGCAGGGCAGTAGGAAAGTTTAACTCCTCTGACTAGATTCTCCTCAACCTTATTCAGGTTTTAGAAGTCAGGCCTGTGCTTAACTGGGACAAAGGAAAAGCTGTTGAGTTCTTACTTGAATCATTGGGTGAGGGAGATGTCCTTGATTGCTTTATGTAACTAGTTACTGGATGTTCCAACAGTTAAAACTAACGCACGTGCATGTTTTTTTCTTTTTTTTTTAGGGTTGAATAATTGTGATGATGTTCTTCCCATTTACATAGGAGATGATCGTACAGATGAAGATGCATTTAAGGTAAAAGTTTAACAGACCTACTTTTCCTTGAGGAATCATCAACCATGTTTATTAAGTTGCCTAATGTGCTTGTTAACAGGTGTTGAGAGAGGGAAATAAAGGTTACGGAATCTTAGTTTCTTCTGCTCCAAAAGAAAGCAATGCATTCTACTCTCTGAGGGATCCATCGGAGGTATGAAAGTGTAATTGATGTTGCTTGAGGAACCTACATTCTTACTATAAGATTTTATAGAGATTGCATTTCTGTGGTTTTAGGTGATGGAA